TTACCCTGTGTCAGGTCATTTTGTGGTTGTCTCCGATTTCTCTAGGATTCTTCTTGCCACCAGGCTTTCACAACATGCGTGTTCGTCGTTTGTCATGCGCATTGCGAGTGATGTTCTTGCACAAGTGGTAGCAAATGAGTCAGAAATCAAAAAGCCGTAGAATGCACGTATACCCCAAGGCCCTAAGGCCCTGAGGCCTGAACCCTGGACTCTAAAAACTTAAGGAGGGGTTGGTTGATACGGAGGGGGAGAGTGATCATGAAGATGGCGGTGGGAGACCGGGTTTTGGCAGATGCTGTTACCGGAAACCCTAAACCCTAAACCCCAAACCCTAAACCCTAAACCCTAAACCCTAAACCCTAAAACCTAAACCCTAAACCCTAAACCCTAAACCCTAAACCCTAAACCCTAAACCCTAAACCCTAAACCCTAAACCCTAAACCCTAAACCTCTCTATCACATATATATTTAAACCCTACAGTCCTCCGTGGCTAAGGGTCATTTCTTCGTGGCTAGGGTCATTTCTTCGTGGCTAAGGGTCATTTCTTCGTGGCTAAGGGTCATTTCTTCGTGGCTAAGGGTCATTTCTTCGTGGCTAAGGGCCATTTCTTCGTCGCTAAAGGCCATTTCTTGGTCGCTAAGGGCCATTTCCTGGGTGCTAAGAGCCATTTCTTCGTGGCTAAGGGTCATTTCTTCGTGGCTAAGGGTCATTTCCTTCGTGGCTAAGGGTCATTTCCTTCGTGGCTAAGGGTCATTTCTTCGCGGCTAAGGGTCATTTCTTCGCGGCTAAGGGTCATTTCTTCGTGGCTAAGGGTCATTTCGTGGCTAAGGGTCATTTCTTCGTGGCTAAGGGTCATTTCTTCGTGGCTAAGGGTCATTTCCTTCGTGGCTAAGGGTCATTTCTTCGTAGCTAAGGGTCATTTCTTCGTGGATTTCCCCCCCTCCCCCCCGCCCCCCCTCCCCCCCCCCCCCTCCCCCCCCCCCCCCCTCCCCCCCCCCCCCCCTCCCCTCCCCCCCCCCCCCCTCCCCCCCCTCCCCCCCCCCAGCCCTCTGGCTGCCCTGTGCGGCCGATGATGAAAAATATAAACTTTTTATTTCTTAATGTTTTGGGATTCTCTGGGTGGGTGGTTTTTTTTCGAGAGTTGCTCGACCCGGAGCTGCTGAACCCTAACCCTAAACCCTAAACCCTCAACCCTCAACCCTAAACCCTAAACCCCTATAAAGCCCGGCCAAGCCCCGAAAGCCTCCGAACCCTGAACCAGGATGTTCACGATGTCCTACTGTGGTATGGGACTCAAGGCTTGGGAGGGGGGTGGGGGTGTAGGGTTTAGGGTTTAGGGTTTAGGGTTTAGGGTTAGGGTTTAGGGTTTAGGGTTTAGGGTTTAGGGTTTAGGGTTTAGGGTTTAGGGTTTAGGGTTTAGGGTTTAGGGTTTAGGGTTTAGGGTTTAGGGTTTAGGGTTTAGGGTTTAGGGTTTAGGGTTTAGGGTTTAGGGTTTAGGAGGTTTACGGGTGGTGGAGGGTGGGTTGGGGGGTTCAGGGGTCGACTTCAACCCTGGAAACCCTGCAAAACCCATGAACCGTACAAACCCTATGCAGCCATAAACCCTCGAAACCCTATGAAACCTGAAACCCCCCCACCCTAAGAAGTCTTGGGGCCCTTGCGGGGGCGCACGGTCGTCTGGAGGCGCCTCTTCGTGGCTTGGGACGCCCTCGAAACCCTAAATTTTGAACTCCCGCACATTTTCGGGTTTAGGGTTTAGGGTTTAGGTTCAGAACGTGCAATTTCCCATGCAGCATCGTTAAGGTGCATCCTGAACGAGAGCCCTTAAACCCCACCAGGGCAGCAAGCACGAAGGAGTTCTGAAAGCCCCTCAAACCCCTGAACCCTAAACTCCTACACCCTAAACCCGAAAACCCTAAACCCCGAACCCTAAACCCCAAACCCCAAACTGTAACCTCCGGGCCCCGAAACCCCAGCCCCTAAAACCGAAGATTAGAGTTTAGGGTTTAGGGTTTAGGGTTCAGGGCTCAGGGTTCAACGTCAATCCCCAAACCCCCAACTCCCCCTAAACCCCCAAAACCCCCAAGCCCTAAACCCGAAACTCCTGAACCGCAAGCCATAAACCTTGGCAAGCCCTGCGAATGCTTAAGATAACTGTTGGGGTTACGCCGAATATGCTGAGGTGGGCAACTGGTAAAGAAGGGAAAATTAGCATCTTAAGCATTCGCGAGGACGGGCCGGGGAGGGATTGAGGCGGCCAAGACGGGATAGAGCACGAAAATCTGTTCTCACACAGGAATGGGAGAGTATGTATTTAAGGTACATTGGGCCTCGGGGTTTTTTACAGGTTTTCGCCGCTAGACACCCAGCTAGTCAATGACCGGCTCCGACCAGTTTTGACTGGTTCCGGCCCAAGTTCCGCTGAGTTCCGCTTGACCAGTTCCGACCACTGGTCCGACAGGTTTTGCTTGGTTCCCGACTCGACCAATTCACCGGTTCCGACCGATTCCGATCGGTTCCGACAGGTTCCGACCGGTTCCGACCGATTCCGATTCCGACGGTTCGACCGGCTCCGACGGGTTCCGATCGGTTCCGACCAGTTCCGACCAGTTCCGACCGGTTCCGACCGGTTCCGGTTCAGAGCGGTTCCGACCATTTTCGACCGGTTCCGACCAGTCCGACCCATTCCGAAACCCGTCGGAACCCGTCGGAACCGGTCGGAACCGGCCGTATTCGGCCGGAACCGGCCGTATTCGGCCGGAACCGGCCGGAACCGGCCGGAACCGCGGAGCAGAATCGGTCGGACAGGTCGGAACCGGTCGTCCTAACCGGTCGGTCGGAACTGGGTCGGAACCGGTCGGAACTGGTCGGAGGCGGTCAAAACCAGTAGGAACCAGTCGGAAGAAAGAGCCGCAATGCAGCACAAGAAGCAACATGACGTGATGCAAAGGAGCAGTTTTGGAAGATTCGGACGACGAGGATATCCTTAAATCTTCAGATCGAAAGAGCCAGAAAACAGCACTAAAAAGCAGCAGACTTGACACAAAGGAGGCACGCTTCTTCGCAATATTGACGATTTGGAAGCCCTAGATTCCCGGAAGTTCTAGGTTGATTTTAATTCTATTCTGTTTTTCCCACCCAGGTATTCCATGTAGTTTCCGGACACGTTAGCGGCCAGAAGCTGGCAGTCTTAAGCGTTCGCTGGGCTGAGCAACATAAACCCCAAACCCCAAACCAGAAATCCTAAACCCCAAGCCCTAAATTATCCTAAACCCTAAACTCCTAAACCCGAAACTCCAAACCTTAAACTCCTAAACCCCAAGCCCTAAACCCTAACCCTAAACCCTAAACTCCGAAACCATAAACCCCAAGCCCGAAACTCTAATCTAAACCCCAACCCCAAGCCCTAAACCCCAGACGCTAAACCGTTCATCCTAAACTCCTACGCCCCAAGCCCTCAACCCTAACCCCTAAACTCCTAAACCCTAAGCCCTAGTTTATAATCCTAAACCCTAAACTCCAAAACCCGAAGCCCCAAACCCAAAACTCCTAAACCCCACGACCGCACGCCATCCTTCTGTCGGTAAGTGGACGCCGTCGAGCGCGCAGCGAGACCATGGCAGGCTCTGCTTAGCTGCAGAGCCTTGAAATTGAACCGAACGCAGTGAGTTTGAAAGAGCAATTGAGCGCTGATGTTTGTGGGGCTGTTCCGCGCGGGAGCGTGGCTGCTGCCGCGCGTGCCTCCCGAAACGGGCGTTGTCGGAGAACGACAAGCTTTGCACGTACCGCAAGCCCCACCGCCAGGCCTGCCCGCGTTTTCTTGGAGCGAGTTGGGATGTTAGCTGTCGCTGTTTGTTGCCTTCGGCATGTTGCGTGTGCCGCGATGCCACGACGGGCATGAAGCTACGGGGGCTGTGCGAGAGAGAGAGTGCCCTGTTCCACAAGACCATGCAGGCCTGCAGTCTGTCACATGCAATCAGAGAGAAACATTCGTTCCTGTATCTGCAAGTCTTGGCTCAGAACGTGGCTACCTGTGCCAGAGAGTGAACAAGCCGCAGGTGCTGGAAAGGCGGAAGCGTTACTGCTGCTGAGCGTAGATGCGCGGCTTGCGTCAAGGGCTTTCGCGGCTTCTCGAACTGCCGCATTGGGCTCCCCGTCGTCGTTCTCGTCGTCGTTTTCGTCGTCGTCGTTTTCGTCGTCGACGTTTTCGTCGTCGTCGTCGTCGTTTTCGTCGTCGTCGTCGTCGTCGCCGTCGTCGTCTTCGTCGTCGTGTTCGTCGTCATCGTTTTCGTCGTCGTCATCTTCGTCGTCGTCGTGTTCGTCGTCGTCGTTTTCGTCGTCGTCGTTTTCGTCGTCGTCGTTTTCGTCGTCGTCGTCGTCGTCGTTTTCGTCGTCGTCGTCGTCGCCGTCGTCGTCTTCGTCGTCGTGTTCGTCGTCATCGTTTTCGTCGTCGTCATCTTCGTCGTCGTCGTGTTCGTCGTCGTCGTTTTCGTCGTCGTCGTCGTTTTCGTCGTCGTCGTCGTCGTCGTCGTTTTCGTCGTCGTCGTCGTCTTCTTCGTCGTCGTCTTCGTCGTCGTTTTCGTCGTCGTCCTCGTCGTCGTCGTCGGCGGCGGCGGCGGCGGCGTCGTCGTCGTCGTCGTAGACATAGTCATATTATTAGCGCTGTTGTTCTTGTCGTTGCGCCGTTCTTACAGGCACCCTGCCTGCTTTGGTCATCTTCATGTCGCCAAGGCTGCAGCTGTTGGCGACGCTGGGACTGTTGGTGCCATGCTCGAAGAGGCGTTCGGACTGGTGAGAGGGTTTAGTTTGGTTGGTTGTTTTTTGAGCGTCTCTAGAACCCCTGGACCCCCCCTGGGCCAATGTCTGGCCGCCAGTCTGGCCTGTTTGTGCCTTGCCAAGGGCAGCGCCCCGAACCCCAACCTAAGCCATCCACTCCTAATTCTCCTTTCTGACCTGGCAGTAGAAGGTGTGGACAAGACCCGCTTCCCAGGGTCGCAGCATGATCTTTACGGAAGATATGGGACTTAGCCAGGCCCGGCGCCAGAAGCGCGTGACAGACAAGAACGCCCTGAGCGTGAGAGAATTTCGGGGATGTGACAGCAGCGTCGTGTCATTACTTTCTGTAGTCCGCATGAGGCAAGCCTCATCTTTCTCAACTGGAGTGCACCTTGCGCCATCAAGAAGATCGCCAAGCAAGCCCAGGTGTCAGCCGCCCAAAAGTGCTTGGATGCTCGGACCGCAGCATGGGCCTCTTGCTGCAGCCGGAGTTCACGCGCAAGAAGAACCAGCCATGGATGCTTGGATCCTCCAAGGAGACGGCAGGACGCGCAGTTCCCCCAGCCTTCAGTCATGTAACTTGATTCTGATGTAATCCATGCCGTGCCTTAATGTGTCACTGTAGCGGTCACGCCTCTTATGAGAGACGTCCCCGAACGCAAGACCTAACTTGTCTCTCTCTCTCTCTCTCTCTCTCTCTCTCTCTCTCTCTCTCTCGGAAGCTTCGATTAGTTTTTTTCTCAAGGCATCTTCTTAGATGTTACTATGCAGCAGGGCATCTTCATAAGCAAACTCCATGACAGAAGGAAGCGTGCTAGATATTATGAGTCCGAAGTACAGCGTTGAATGCAGAAGTGTTTGAATGTGGGCTGGCTTTGGTTCGGCTGGCTCTGCTTTTGGATCGTTTTGAGTAGTGTTTGGGGGGTCTTGGGGTGGGCATGTCTGCACACAATTGCGTACAGCTGACCAATGCTAGACCCTACACCCTCAACCCTAAACCCTAAACCCTAAACTGTAAACCCTCAACCCTAAACTCCGAAACCCTAAGCCCCAAACCCTAAAACCCTAAACTTAGCCCCAAGCCCTAAACCCTAAACCCAAAACCCTGAACCCCAAGCCCCAAACCCCAAACCCTAAACCCTACACTCCTAAACCCCAAACTCCAAACCCTAAACCCTTAACTCCTAAACCTTAAACCCCAAACCCTAAACCCTAAACCCTGAACCCTAAACGCCCTAAGCCCTTGGAGGCGCCTCTGGAGTGCACCATGTACCCAACAGCCAGCGGCTCCCCAAAGCAGAGGCTCCCAGGCTTAAGTTGGGAGGGTTTAGGGTTTAGGGTTTAGGGTTTGGGGTTTGGGGTTTAGGGTTTAGGGTTGAGGGTTGAGGGTTTGGGGTTTGGGGTTTAGGGTTTAGGGCTTTCGTGGTCGTTGCCTAAAGGAACCTGAGAGCAATGTCTTTCCCACCTGCTGTTAAGATGGGAAGCAACCCAAACCATCACCTGTTCATGTTTGTGGTTTCTGGCTTGAAATTTTGGGGGTTCGGGCTTTTCATGCATTCAAACCCCACCACCCACCACCACTGGCTTCGGTAGAGGCACCTCGGGCTGTTTTCGGGCCTTACGGCCTGAAGACTCGACACCTTTCAGTCTGAAACCCTATCCCGAAACCCCAAACCCTAAACCCTAAACTCCCTAAGTTTAGGCCTTAGGCCCTGAAGTAGGCAGACGCTTCTTGGCTCTTGGGCCCTAAGCCCCAAGCCTGCCTTGCAAACCTTAAAACCATTGGACCTTTGAAGCCTCTGTTCCACTATAGAAAGCCCAATAGCCAAGAAGCTACTGCCTACTTCAGAACCTTAGGCCTGGGCTTATTGGGTTTAGGGTCCAGGGTTTAGGGGGTTGATCCCAGTGGTGACCAGGGATTTAGTTTAGGGTTTGGGGGTTGATGGTTGGGGCACTACTTTTTCCCAGGTGCGAGCGGGGAAACTCCCTGAAGGATGGCTACGAGTATGTGCGACCGAGCCGCAGTCGGGTTTCGGGCGTGGGGTGTCCAGGGCTGAAGTTTTAGGGGGGTTCGGGTTTAACGTTGGGCCCTTTTTTTCGTTGTATTCCCTCCATCTCCCCCCCCCCCCCCCTCCCGTCCATCCTGAAAGGAAAGCCCATGTGAGCGTCCGGCAGCCCCATTGATCCAAAAGCCGCGCCAAACGAAATGGGGGTTTCCGAATTTAGGGGTACTTCTGGGCCCTGATTGGAAGGGAATCCTACTGTTTGAGGGTCTATATTAGGGTCCCTAATTTTCGTCAACCCGCAAATGTCCCTGAACCCCAAACCCTAAACCCTAAACCCTAAACCCTAAGGGGGCCGCTGCCGAAGTGGGGGACATGTGAGAGTAGGGTTTAGGGTTTAGGGGTTAGGGGTTCAGGGGTTTAGGGGTTTAGGGGTTTAGGGGTTTAGGGGTTTAGGGGTTTAGGGTTTTAGGGGTTTAGGGTTTTAGGGTTTTAGGGGTTTAGGGTTTTAGGGTTTTAGGGGTTTAGGGGCTTAGGGTTTTAGGGGTTTAGGGTTTAGGGTTAAGTTTAGGGCCTGCACCCCCCTCAAAGTCCCAAGTGTCGCAGGGCTGAGGTGTTCAGGGTTTGGGGTTTACCCCTTATACTAACAGTCCTTAATGGGCATTATAGTACCCCCTATTAGAATCCCTATTCAGGACTGTTAGTATAAGGGGGAACATCTTCAGCCGAAAATGTCAAAAAAGACCGTAAGGTACAATGAAGGCCGCTACCGATCTTTCTCGGCCTGCAACACAAACAGCTGCTGGTGCTGCCGCCGCGAGAAGGACTGGAGGGTTTGGGATTTAGGGTTTAGGGTTTAGGGATTGGGTGTTCGGTGGTTTAGGGAGCAGGGTTGGCCTTGGACTTGGAGTTTGGGGTTGGTAGGGTGGAGAGCCGCAGCATCCCCCACACCGCTGCATCCACCCCTGTCTGGTTTAGGGTTTAGGATTTAGGGTTTAGGGTTTAGGGTTTAGGGTTTAGGGCTTCGGGTTTAGGGTTTAGGGCTTAGGGCTTAGGGTTTAGGGTTTAGGGTTTTTTGGGTTGAGGGTTTGGGGTTTAGGGTTTAGGGACCCCCGCAAGCCGTACACCCTACACCCTGGACCTTAAACACGCCCAAACCCTAAACCCTAAACCCGAAGCCCCAAACCGAACCATACAAGCAACCGCCCCGCGGCCTGGAAGGAGTCGAAATCGTGATGGCTCGCCTCTGCGGGTCTTTGGGCTACGCTAAACCCAAACCCGAAACCCTAAACCCTAGACCTAAACCCTAAACCCTAAACCCGAAAGGGCTCAGGGGTTAGGGGCCCATGGGTTTAAGGGGTTCGGGGTTTCTGGCTTTGGGGTTCAGGGTCGAGGGCTGAGAGGGTTTGAGAGTTATAGGGTTTAGGTCTGAGAGGGCTTGAGAGGCTTTAGGTTTAGGGTTTAGGGTTTTCGGTTTTGGGTTTTGGGGCATGGTTAAAGGGTTAAGTTTAGGGTTTTAGGTTTGAGGGTTTGGGGCTTAGGGGATGGGGTGGAGGGCTGGTTTCGGGTTTCGAGTTTAGAGAAAAGGGGGTACAGTGACAGCCCTGGACAAGAAGCGTTGAATGCTTTCATGGGGGGGGGGGTACCTTCGATGTTTCAATTCTGAGCATGTTCGAATTTCTTTCCGCCCTCAGAAGTAGGAAGCCATTGTCTATGACTGAAGCGAATTGTTTTCAGAAACATCCTCAACAACAAGTTGGGCACCCTCGAATCCAGTTCTTCCCCCCTCGAATAAGAAGACTCAGCGTCAAATTTAGCTTGGGGTCTCACCCGGCCCTGGAATTCAGCCCCAAAACAAAGACCAGTAAACTCTAAACTCCTAAGCCAAAACTTTAGGGGCCTAAACCCTAAACCCTAACCCTAAACCTAAACCCTGAAACCCTAAACCCTCGGCCAAGGCTGATGCACAGCCGCCGTGAGAGGAGAGATCCGATGCTTGAGCGAGCACAAAAGCGAAAGCCACCGCAGTAGGCAGTCATGTTCAGTCTTCAGGGTGGTTTAGGGTTCAGGGTTTAGGGTTTAGGGTTTAGGGTTTAGGGTTTAGGGTTTAGGGTTTAGCAGGGTTCAAGGTTTTTGGGGTTACGTGCATTAAGCCTTTGGGAAACCGTCAGACAAACGCTCATGCCACTGTGGCTGCGCGGTGCTTTCTGAACTCCAGGCTGCAAGGAAAACAGGATGCTTATGATGTGAAGGAACCCTAAACCCTAAACCTTAAGCCCTTAAGCCCTTAAGCCCTTAAGCCCTTAAGCCCTTAAGCCCTCTTAAGCCCTCTTAAGCCCTCTTAAGCCCTTAAGCCCTTAAGCCCTTAAGCCCTTAAGCCCTTAAACCCTTAAACCCTTAAACCCTTAAACCCTTAAACCCTGAGCCATAAACCCCAAACCCTAAGCCTGAAGCCCTAGAGGATGTACAGGGTGCCAGGGCCCCTCATCCTTACCTGTTTCCCAGGAGCCTTTACAAATCCCGATCACTCAAACTCCTATTGGGCCCTACTGTTGATAGCCCAGTGGTACCCTTCACCTTTTTTTTGGGTCCTTATAAAGTAACCAACCCAAAAGGGGTGCCCTTATCATAATATGGCTACGGGGCTACCAAGTACGACCACAAGCCCTGTGACTACACCTTGAGACCCGAAACCTAATCACCAATCCCTGCAGAGCTCCAGAACCGAGGAGTTCCACAATTGCCAAAGTCATCTCCGCCTGATGGCAACCGTAAACCCTAAACCCTAAACCCTAAACCCTAAACCCTAAACCCTAAACCCTAAACCCTAAACCCTAAACCCTAAACCCTAAACCCTAAACCCTAAACCCCAAACCCTCCGACAGTTCCTGTAGAAGCTGGCCACAATGCCTATTCCAAAATGACATATGCCCTGTATGCTAAACCAGGCAAGTCTTAAACTCTAAGCCCTACACCCTAAATCCTAAACCCCAAACCCCAAACCCTAAACCCTAAACCCTAAACCCTAAACCCTCAACCCTAAACCCTAAACCCTAAACCCCAAACCCTCCGACAGTTCCTGTAGAAGCTGGCCACAAAGCCCATTCCAAGTTGACATATGCCCTGTATGCTGAACTAGGCAAGTCCTAAACTCTAAGCCCTACATCCTAGACCCTAAAGCCGAAACCCTAAACCCTAAACCCAAACCCCAAACCGTCCGACAGTTCCTGTAGAAGCTGGCCACAATGCCCATGCCAAGTTGACATATGCCCTGTATGCTAAACCAGGCACGTCTTAAACTCTAAGCCTTACAGCCTAAATCCTAAACCCCAAACCCTAAAGCCGAAACCCTAAACCCTAAACCCTAAACCCTAAACCCTAAACCCTAAACCCTAAACCCTAAACCCTAAACCCTAAACCCTAAACCCTGAACCTCTACACCCCTAAGCCCGAAACCCGAACCTCAACGCCCGTTTGAGGCAGTCGCAGTATGGTGGCGGGGCCAAGGCTTGTGGCATCGAGCGTGAGGGAATGATATGAGGGGTTTAGGGTTTAGGGTCTATGGTTTAGGGTTTAAGGGTTCAGGCTGTTT